ACTTACACTAAAAAAATAATAATAATAATTACCTGACAATAGTGTTGACTGCGTCATTAAAATGGATACATACCATTTTTGCAAAAGGAGATTGGCATGGTTGTCCACAATTTTTTCATAATTCATGGAACATATTGTCTATGTTGATGCTCTGAATGTAAGCAAGTATCCGAAAATATTTAACCTAAAACCATCCAAAGAATGTATAGATTACAATTATTAATTGGAAACTACATGTAGATACTTGTTCATTACTTAATTAATTGAGAGGAATTGTATTGTAGGTGTAACTACATATTCGCATATCCGTATTCTCTTAGCATTTGATATCAACAATGCCTGGAACATTGTAAAATTGCATGACTGCAACCACGTCACTAATTTCTGAGCACATTTATCATTCTCAAACCTGCAAATTTTTCAAATACATATTCGTAAGGGTATGAAATATTATTAATAATTTAATATTTTGGTATTTGTAAAACTTACCGACTATGTAGGTATTGAGCAAAATCCAAGTAGTGATTGACATGAAATTTGCTTGCTCGAATAGTATAAAGTGACAGTCCTGCACAATGTGCTATATTTATTGATAAACTATAAAAATTAAATTAAATAAAGTGAAAAGAAATTGAATTACCTTTATAATTTCTCACACAAATACCACAGGCTAGTAAAACATTATTTTTTGTAACAGTTTGATGCAAGCGTTCACCATCATCAGTTGCAAATTTATCACATAAAGTCAACTGAACTACAGTCAAGCTTCATTTAGAGAATTTTGGTAAGTATAAATCAAAATTTGTAGAATATAAAATGTTTTGAAGATATTGAATAACTAACCTTTTGTCAAGTAAAAGAATGTCACACCTAGTTTTATCATTGATAGATGTTTGATAGCGTGAACCTACAGATACAACTAAACCAATTATATCTGCAAAAGATCAAAAAGTATAAGTAATACTAGTTCAAATATACAACTTAAATAGAAGTATGGTTAATTATGAATGAAATACCTATCAATTGCAAATCATTGTCCATGTACTGTTCTGTATCTCTTAGTTTGACTAGATTAAACTTGAAACGGAATATGGTTCCACAATCATCTAAAATATTCACTATCTTCGTATCGTTTCCAAATGATAATTGATACTGATGTGGTGCAAGCCGATATTTAAGATCTGCCGAAATTACATGGATATTTTGAAACTAGTATACCTTGTCTTCATGAAGATGATCTGCGAAAATGTTTATCATATCACTACCTCTTATAACTCCCTGCATGACAAGTTTCTGATAGTTTTCAAGAGATTAGTAAATATTCAATGTTCAATATAATAAATAACATACGCTCTTAATTATTACTTGATCATCTACAAAAAGCATCTTGATACATCCCGAACGTTGGAGCACTCCAGATATGGTCATATCTATTAATCGAAACAATCTAACCTTTACATTCCAACTGTATCCATAAGGGTCCAAATAGAGTAAAGGTGTATATCGGATATCTGTAAATTATTATGATATAGCATGAAGTTAATTATTTAAACACTATAGTTGAGATAGTAAGTAACACAAATTGAAAGAAGTACAAAAAAATTGTCAAATTGTGTATAGTACATATACTTTATATATATATTTTTTAAACAAAGTGATGTCCACAATTTATCAAAGGGAGTCAAAAATCTCATGATACACAATATTTTTTGTGTAATCCCATGGATCATTATCTCTATTAACAATTAGTATTTTCAATCCAACTGGTGAAGTAGCACAAGAAAGAGCAACATAAAGTTGACCATGTGAAAACACAGGTTTAGGAAGGTAAACGCCAACATTTTTCAATGTTTGGCCTTGACTTTTGTTGATAGTCATTGCAAATGCCACTTTCATAGGAAATTGTCTCCTTTTAATTGGAAAAGGAGTCCGTGAGCTTTGTGACATTAAAGAGATCCGAGGTATGAGCACTAAATCTCCAATATTAGATCTTGTTATGACTTCTGTCTTAAGAACTTTATCCCCCATTCTGGTGACAACAAGTCGTGTTCCATTGCAATGACCTTCTGATTGATTGAGATTTCTGAAAAGAATTATAGGAGTTCCTTCTTTAAGTTCCAAAAAATGATTTGAAAGTTCAGGAAAATTCAAAGAGTGCAACATTTTAGGAGGATTCATATTTTCAACATTGTCACTTTCAGTATTGCAAAAAGTATCAACACTCATGTAAGCACGTGATTGATCAGGAAGCATTGATAGCATCTTATTATTCAATTTGTGAACATCACCCATTTTTGGAGCCAAAATAGCATGTTCCTTGAGGTAAGTACTATTTTTGTATGAATTTCTCAAATTTAGATAGACAGAATCTATTAACCGCATCAAAAATTAACTTTCATTTTTTATGAGAAATTGCGATGGCATCCGAATCCAATTTGATTCCCCGAATTCAGTAAGTGAAATTGTTGAAACCTTTCCTTCACCAACAGATAGCAACCAATTTGAAGAATCTGTCAATTGCTGACGCGTATTTTCAGAAAGATGCAAATTCATTACATGCATATTTATTTTAAGATGCAGTACTCTACAGTGATCCAAAATCGTTGATTCTTTTATTGTAACCGATACTATTGCTGCTCTCCTACCTTTAGAAACAATCGGTAATGTTTGTCGAAAATTACCACCCAAAACAACTAATTTTCCTCCGAAAATACGATCCTCAGAATCATTTTCACTAAACTTTAAGATATCCTTTAAAGTTCTATCCACCGCTTCAAATCCATGCCGATGTGTCATTGGAGTTTCGTCCCAAATTATCAAAGATGTCTCTCTAATTAATTTGGCTAAGTCATAATTTTTATTGATTGAACAACTTGATGACTCATTCAAATTAATAGGAATTTGCGATCCAATTCGAGCAATCAATGTTCTCCATAAATAAGTTTTACCCGTCTCATCACTTCCATACACAAAAAATAGTCCTCCACAATTATGTGTGTATTTTTTTTTAGTGTAAGTTGGAGGACTCGAACCCGAGACCTCTTACTTACACTCCTTCCCCCCCGTACCACCCAACCCAACCCTACCCCCTTATGTGTGTATGATTCCATAATAAGATCATGTGCTTTCAATTGATCCTCATTCAAATTAGCATATAAATTATCAAATAATTGCTGTTCTGATGTAAAATCGTAATCAAGCTCTTCTCTTATAAGTCTATTCATAGAAAATTGAGCATTTTCAAAGGACGACAATGGCATCAATGGAAAATCTCGCAAAGAGCGACCATTTTTATTCAAAATGTGTTCAAATTCAACTAATCCCAAAATTTGTAACTCATCATCATCAATGCATAGGGTTTCCCATATCCCTTCTGATCTGATATTGCAAATCATTTGTTATACTTTTCCAGTGGCGCTGCCATATATCAAAAGGGTTAGTTACCTTAGAATGTATAAGTAGTGTACAATACATGTTTCATAATTTTTTGCAAATGCCCATGTAGATGCTTCAGCTAAAGCTTCATTCCACTCATTATCATCATTTAGAAGACCAAGTACTGCATATGCAGCTTTGAATGTTGGATGTACAGTTCCATTAATAGTTTTCAAATGTTCATAACTTCGTGCACCACGAATTTTATGCAGCAACGTTCTCAAATAGTATCGCTCACCAGAGTGAGCATGTGCATATGGTAGCCTTCCAATACACCTACCTTGCAATCTGAACTCCCATTGTTGTCTATTTTGCTTCCAAGTCCACTTACTCGGAAACTCCACAAAAGTCAAGTTTCTAACTGAAACATTACTCTGATTTATTTCAAACCATTTCGTCAGCATTGTGTCATGTATGTGATCATAATCAAGAATGTCATAAAGATGATTATTATCATTAAATATCACAAATTGATGATCAGGAAGATGATACTTGTGAGGGTTCTAAAATTTTTACTATTTTTGAAATAATGATGAAAATATTGATATTATATGATTTAGTCAAATTTTTGGCATTCTCATCTATTAAAATGTCATTTTACAACTTAGTTTAAATTATTATTATTATTGCCCGATTATCGTTTGGCTAGCATTAAGTATGAAACTTTGGAGTGGTGACGTAGAATTTAGTCTTAAGATTAAGTCTAGAGCATGTAGAGACTTTAAAGAAATAGAAAAATGATAGGATGTTGGTTGAGAGACATCTAGTTAAGGATAAAATGTTGCATGAGGGCGCGACAAATAAGCGAGTAGGTGAGGTGGTTCACCTACTACACTTTAAAGGAAGAAACTAGACTTGAGAGCTCATTTTCTTTCTTCCTCCTTAAGCCATCCGAAATTAGAGAGAGAGAGAGAGAGAGAGAGAGAATTAGGAGCTCTCCATTTTCTCCTCCATCTTGCTCTTGAAAATCACTTGAAAAGCCATCACCGAAAAATGAACTACTACTAAGGCTAATTCTAATGACATGAAGAACTGGCAAGAGACTAATGCAAATGGACCACAATAACCTGAACATTTCAACCTATATCGAAATAACCAATGGAGACAGTGGGTTTGTTTGGATAGGAATTTATTTGGATGATTTATTTGAAATAATTACTATAGCACTTTTTATGATGTAATATATGTGAGATAAAAAAATGATTGGAAGATAAAAAGGTGATTGAAATTTGTGAAACAAATTATTTTATTTCAAAACATTTCAATCCAAATAGACCCACTCTCTTACTATTCATTCACGCAACTCTCGCTTTTCAATTGTTAGATAGATAGATAGATAGATAGATGTTAGACATATAGATTAGGCCTTTAGGCCACCTCTTCAAACAGTAAAGTCCAGAACGGTAATTTGGGCCAACCCAATAACTCAACACTTTTCGCGGTTCAATTGTCATCACTCGGCCCACTCAATTATGTTCTTCCATTTCCCTCGTCTCCATAATTTCTTCAGAACGGCGACGTACGTATAGGCCATCGCTTCCGCCTCCGCATCCGTACCGTATTCTTTAGTCATGGATTTTGAAAATTATTACGAAATTTCCCTCGTCGCGGACTTCATTAACGCCCATAACTTCTCCAGAGTCGCCTTACAGGTTTATTAACAATAAAAATGGTAAAAAAACTAATGAATAATTCCTAAAATTATTAATTGAGATTTTATCTATTTATTTTATTTGTAGTTTCCAGATGAGCTCCTGAAAGATTCAAGGAAAGTCGTGAGTGCTCTCCGGCAAGAGCTCCACCGTCTTCTTAAGAATTCCGACGAGTCACGTGCAACCGCTAAGTTGTACGTGATGGCCAACACCACCTACGGCGGCTGCTGCGTGGACGAGGTCGGAGCTGCTCATGTGAAAGCTGATTGCGTTATTCATTACGGCCACAGTTGCCTCAGCCCGTGAGTTTGTTGATTATGTGTTTAATAGTAACTATGTTTGTAATTTTGATTAAGGAGCTGTTTAGTGTTAATTAATTTAGTTTAGTTTGAGGAAATGGTCGGAAGGGTACAACCTTTAGTGTATGAGGTACTAATTAATTTGAAGATAGTGGATACGTTTGGACTGGCCAAATTTACATAATTTACCTCAGATTTTTTACTTGCATGATTTAGTTTATTGGAACATAAGGGACTCATTTATTGTGAAATGACATGCATTTATGATTACAAAAAGCTGGCAGAAAGGAGTAAGTGGCGGGTGGTGCTATTTTGATGGACAATTTGGTCATTCGAGGCTGAAGTACTTTTTTTTTTGCCTAGTCAAACGAGACCCATTCGAAGCTGAAATACTTCATTCCCCCAAATTGCTTACCTGGTCAATGCGAGTGGGGCCTTCACTTTGAAAATTAGTTAGGATTTCGATTTGAAATCCTGATGTACGCACAGAACATAGAACAAATAATAAAGCAACGCGGTGGTAGTAGTAAACAAGCATGCGCATGTTTTCTTCTTTGTGCCTCCGTTTGCATGATGAAAATACAGGTTTGAAGGTATACCTACCGAGTGCTTACAGGAGGTTACAGCTATATAAGTAGGTGAAAAATAACTCAAACGCAAGGATTATGGGAATCAAACGATATCAAATGTTCATAATAGTCAGGCACAACATAGCCCTTTCTCCAAAGATAGCATAAACCGACGCTACTAAAAAAAGGTTTTTTGTTAACTTAGCAGCTAAAAAAAGATTAATATAAATTCACCCATAATTGAATTAACGCTGGCGTGTATTTCTATAGGTATTGAACATATGATTGGCCATTGCATCTCTCATACCGATCCATTGGTTAATCACTTCGGGAGGGGAATGTAGTGGCTGTATCTCCGGATAGGGAGGAATTGCACCATTTGTGTCTAGATCTCCTATATCGGGATTGGCGAAGTAATAGTCATCCGGTTGTTGATCTCTAATGAAATTGTGCACATCACAGTAGGCAATAACAACGTTTATCTGAGTAGTCATCATGTAGTGGGGTATGGCGCCCCGCAAGATAGCAAATCTCCTTTTAAGAACACCAAATGTTCGCTCAATGACATTGCGGAGCATAAAATGTCTGTAATTAAAAAGTTCCTTGGCCGTGGCAAATCTCCCCATTCTACGACCACTAACATCCGCTTGGCGTCCTCTATAGGGTGGTAAGAAACCGGGTAAGTTTCGGTATGCGGAATCAACCAAGTAGTATTTGCCTATTCCAAACGTATTATCAAAAATGATAGCCATTAGTAATGTGAAATTATGCTAAATAGAGTGAAGAAATGGTTTAACTCGCATACCTGGGGGGGGCATTGGGAAATGATTTGGGCCCGTTAGAGGCCCATCTAAAACACGAGCATCATGGGCACTTCCCTCCCAACCTGCATACACGTATACGAATCTCATATCATGATCACATACAGCCAACACATTTTGTGATTGCACTCCGTGTCTATTTGTGTATGCCACCTGCTGTCCACTCGGAACAGAAGCGGGTATATGTGTCCCGTCAATGGCCCCAACTGCGTCCTTTACAAAAAAACAAAAAAGTTAAGGTGGAAATTTTGACGAATTTAATGAATTAAGGCAATTACCCACAAAATTAGGTGTATTATTAGTTTTTTCCCACAAACTAAATTTGCTTAAAAAAAATTAGGTAAACAGGTTAATTAATGAGCAAACAAGATGACGAACTATGATTACAATATTATTAAAATATATTACTTAATGAGCGAAATTTTTCATCTTGTTGATTAGTGGGGGTTTTAATTAAACAGATGTATGCAACAATAAATTAAAACCCTCAATATACCTTATCATCGGGTTTAATTAAAACCCCCGTATATTAATTAATTAAAAAATTGTAATGATGAAATCACTACAATGAAACCCCCATTAATTGCACCACTAAAAGCAACTGATGAAATTGTTCATTAATCACTTCAGGACCAGGTGCATACTTCATCAATTTTGAGGCCTGCGATGTTTCTTTTATACATCTTTGCTTCATTGGTGCAAGCTTTTGTATTTGCCTATTTCATGATGTCACAAAAGCCCATTACTATCCCTTTCCTCTAATGGACTTCCAAAAATCCACAGTCCGCTTCTAAACCAACAAGGGGTTTTGCAAATAATGGCCACGGACCGGGTTTACAGCTCTACAAATGGATCTACCACCCTTTTTTCGATGTTGCTCTACAAATCCTATTATTATCAATTACTATACAAACTAATATAAATATGAATTAAGGTTTCACATATATATATATATATAGAATAATTGTGATGTTAATTGGTACGTTAGTAGAAAATCATTCAAATTATAGAGGTGTTTCTTGGATTTTTAATTTCATCCTAAAATAATCTTTCTTTGATTTTTTTTTCTTTAACAAGTTCATATAACAATTCCATTAATACCAATTTTCTTATTTTACTTGATGTTATATGGATAAGTTTAATATAAGTCAACTCATAGATATAAGATATAAGTAATACGCATACACGCAATTAGTGAATTAGTCTAGCATTTTTAATTAGCTAAAGACTTAAAGTGCCACTAATGCCTTTAAACAACAATAGCACGAGTCAGCAAACAAAGACTCAGGTGTAATTTAGGCTACACAGATATATTCCACCTCAAACCAACCAATTAGAAGTTTACAAGATGAATCAGTTATAGGATTAGTTGCAGCCTCACATATACCTCAAACCATGGATAAAATCTGGGATCATTCATAATTTTTGGATGGATTTCATCCTGCCGCCTTGGAGTGATGATGAATTGCACAAATGTACATAGACCTTTGATAACTTCATGAATATTTCGATGCACTGTCTCAAGCGAGTGGTTGAATCGGTCCGCAATCATGCGCATCCGCATATTATGACTCATCATAACTAAAGTCATCGCCAGTGCCTTCTCTATTGTCACCCTTTTTTGATGATGCTGGGGAACAAATCCACAGTCGGCCAATATATTACACAATCTCATAAATGAATCAACGGTTAATCTTGTTGCGTTCATAATTCGGGTGTGGTGCCCTGACATCACCTCTTCAACCCATTGTCTGCCAGTTAAAGCTGATGTCCTGCATGGAACCTTCCGGATAGGACCTCCGAATGGTTCTGCATCTGGACCGAACAATAGGGCCGCACCGGCGGCAAATAGAATATCGTCTTCATCTGAGGACGAACTGGATGCACCTCCATACATGTTGAAGTTATGCACGTAAAAGGGAGTACTATATAAAATGAGGGAAAAGTAAAAGTAGGTTATTTGCTGTGGGAAGCAATTCTCTATCAATTTTGAATTTGATGGCCATCCGCAATTGGTATATATTGCCAGTGCATGCTTATAAAAGCATTCGGTGGTAAGAATTGAGGCCATAATTATTTGAAGCTGTGTCAGTTCGCCTGTCCAACTAGGACATCCTTGAAGATGTGTAGTCTGCAAAAATGCATGTGAGAAAGCAAAACTCATGTGGAAGTATCTGGGTACGTGAAGTCCCTTCATATCAGCCCGTACATAAAAATCTTATATGAGATCACAAATAGTAGGAAAATTTCTTGTAGGAATTTCAACACCAATGATACCTCCTAGACAGAGTACTTGACCAATTTCTTAATATAATACCAAATTTGGATTTTTGCGAGGACAGCAAGCTGCTCACCCTATATAATACCAAAGCCCTCTCTTTTTGTATGTTTGAGGAGGAGAAACGTAGAGATGAAGGTTTTTATATGCAGTTTTGATTTTCATTTTGCCTTAATGACATATTTCATTGAAGTAAATGATACAGTGAACGTGCATTTTTTTTTTACCATATTGAGTTTGTTGTGTTTAGGCTAACGGATCCCAAATCCTGAATGATCTCATGTTTTACCCTGATCAAACTTAGTTTTGATATTGCGCAGCCACCTGGGTTTAGATATTAATACTTGTAGGAATTATAATATGTGATAACCACATCAGAAGCATATTAACTGCTGGCATATTAATACTTGTAGGAATTATAATGTGATAACCACATCAGAAGCATATTATGAGGTCCTCAAAATTTTTTGGCAGAAATGAGGAAAGCAAGAATGATAATTCTAAGTGCCTGGGCACACTAATTGATGTAAATGTAGCACTCACAATAGCCAAGCACCATGTTGCACCACTAATACAAATATAACAATAGAAATTCAGCCCACTTGACCACAATCCGCAAGTAATTCATTCAAAGTACATTGGAAATTAAAGCAGCAATTAATCAACTAATCTTTTTTGAAACTGCCAACTAATCATTTTTTAAACTGCCAACTAATCTTCATCTGGCCCCTTCTCATCATCTGGCCCCCTCTCATCGGGAACCTGTAGTTTGTTAATCCAGTACTCCTGAAGATCACGTGACATAGTCAGAAAAGTTTTACGCCATTTGTCATCTTGGAGTTGTAAAAGAGCCGTGACTCTCCTTCCTTTGGACAGGCCTTCGAACGACTCGATAACCTGAGTTGCCATTGTGACATCATATTTCTCAAAGTCTTTAGCGCGGCGCTCCTTAATTTGCAGTTTCGTTGAGGCTAGGTTGTTGAGGGAGTTGGCACACTCAACGAATGGATTATCAGAACTTTTGCTCGACTTGCTCTGGCGAGATCCATAACCCGAGTTTGTAGCCCCTACGCTGGCCGAGCCTCTCTTTCTTCCAACGGTAGGAGCTGTATCGTAGCATGTGATATCTGGGTCACCGGTGAGCATTTCATCGCCAAAATGTGAACTTGATTGCCCTCCCAAATGAGTAGCCGGCATTTGTCGAGGCACACGCGAAGATGGAGATGCAAAGGAGGAAGTTGCTTGGCTTCCAGTTGCGGTTTCTCCTTCAAAGACCTCGGATAGTATCGTATATTTGTCAACGCACTGGAAGTATCTGAACTGGTTATAGTCTTTATTCTCCTGTCCAATAATGAAAATTATCCTTTAAGTCTCAAATACAAATCATGTAATAAAGTCAAGACACACCTATTTGTTAGCACACGAGTACTTGTTCATCATATTCTACCATAGTAGCCAAGAACTAATCGAGTCTTAAAATTAATTCATCAATTGCCAGTAAGGTAACAAGTCACAACTCAGCCCGGCAGTTACGAATTAAGCATCAAAGGAATGAAATTTGTAAACATGAAATTCTGTTGCCAAAATTTTAACTTGATTTGGATGGTAGATTACCATTTGCAGATTCCTCCACTGAAATTCATCGGCCATAAAGCATCTCCTATTCTCGTCCCACCCAATTCCAGTTTCGGCCGAGAGTCGCAAACCTTTTAATTTGGCAAATGAACGCCAAATCCTCTTCAAACGCGTGTACTTCGAATGGTAGACAGTCCACATATACTGCTTACCCCAACTGGAATTAAGATGGACAGTTAGTTTCATCCAGTTTGCCTCGGTGGACATGTTTGGATTCCACTCCCCACTTTTTTTCCACTCGACATATGTCATACAGAAGTGCATCTCCATGTTTTCATCCCAATAATCTTTTGCAGTGGTATATCAGTAGAAGTGTATATCAGTTTGTAGTACTGGCAAACGAATATGAAACTGTCAAACATTTACAGATTTTAGATAAATATATCTTTGTGACTCAAAACTTAGCTACTAAGTTCTAATTACAATGCAGCAGTGGCAAACTTAAGGCTGACTCAATATGTGGAAGAACTCCAATAAGTATTGTCCTCATTTCTAGAAATACTTATTTGTTTGAACCCAAGATGTACCTCTAACATTTTGTGATTAGCAGGTGCTAGCATAAAAATTGAATGGAGTAAATAGGCACACATTCAATAATTGATTAGCCAAATTCAACAAATACACCGAAGAATATTAATTAACTGGATGTATGAAGGTGGCTAAACAGGGCAGCAGCATGAAAATCCATAGCGCAAGTCTTGTTTTTGGGCAGTGTATTATATTTTAGGATGGCCTTACCTTGAAGTAGTTAACTAAGGACTCGATGTAGTTGTTTGAGGCTGTGAATGAGTGGACGGAAGTAGCCTCGGATGCACGGGCGGGGGTTGTTGGACCGGACAATGATAGCCTGCGCTTGTTGGACATTTACTCCACGTAAGGGTGTGTTAATAGGATGCAACTCATGAGTAAAATCCACTTGAATGAAGTAGTTTAAAAAACGCTTTGGTTCCAAGTTTTCTTCTATTCTCAATCTTCGTTATTGGATGGGAGAGGGAGATGAACGACCGTCTGGGGAACTTGCCTATGGTCTTTATCTGTAAAAACAGCCAGCATTCACTTTTTCATTCTCTACCCAGTTCTTCAAAAAGCAACGCTAAAATAGCATTACAACATAGACTTATAATAAGTTTTGAGGACTTAGACATGTATATCAGTTAATGGACTTAGACTTGTACATCTTTTTCAAACAAGAGCAGGCATGTGTTTATACTTCACCGGAGAGGGAAATAACAGTTTGAATCCTATTTCAGCATACTTAGATATTTTTAAACTTCAACATGTAAACAAGTTATGCCTACTTCATCATATTTCTAAACCTCAGAAATTCGGTTATATTTTTGAAATAGCAGCTATACTTCAGCAACATACAAATTCCGTTTATGGACTTTCGATGCAAAACAGACCTAAAAAAATAGAAGATCTCCGACAGTCAAGATTACTCTACCAATCAGTCCAATTAAGTTTCAGCAGGCATTTATTAACTTTCAGGCCAGTCCTAATCATGCCTTAACACGATTTAAAATAAAACAGCGAATTTCATCCTAACTCACAAATATCGTGTCTACAGGTGCCTATACACTGCAATTACGCCCAACTCTGAAGTATATTACGCCGGCAGCAACATTATTGCAATTTCAGAATGCGTAAAATTTATGATTCAATCGTTCCTATTCGAATTAGGGCTGACTCATAAATTGGGGAAATGTGTGAAAAACTTATATAAAAAAAAGAACCGCACCTGACCTGGTTCTCAATTGTTTCAAATGACAACTTTCAATTTCCTTCTCACAAGCTCCAGTTAGAAAGCTCAAGCTCTTTACCCTTGATAACCCGGAAAGTAAAGCTGGTATTCAGCTGCGCACTTGCAAGTTAATTACCTCAGATCTGGATCTCTATTTGTGCGTCGACTGGTGCCAAGCGCGGCACTGTAATTGACGTCAACTGGGGAAAAAAAGCACAGAGCGGATGTCGTTTTGGATGAAACCTTTTTCTTGGCAAAAAGGGTATAGAAATTGCAGAGAGGTGGCTGGAGTTTATCTCTGAACCAAAAACGGAAGCTCCTACAATCCTCAATGCTCTCTGGACTGTTCTCTTTTTCCACTACCCCTTTCTTACAACGGATACATTTTGCATAATGTACGGAGGTAGTAAAGGTGTTGGGGAGAAGTGAATAAAACATGGTGGGTCCTTGCACCACGTGAACCCTGACTCCAAGGCCCCTTTTGTCTGTTAGTTTGGTGGTATAACTTAGCATCCCCTTGTGGAAAACATTTGCAAAAAATTACGTGTCCAAAGATTTCAAATTAAAATTTGCACACTAAATTAAGCAAAACAAATTATGCAGTCCAAACGTATCCAGTGTATTAAGGGTTATTGTTATTTGTTATTGCTGCTTTTGAAAGTTTTGGAAATTTGGCCTTTTCGGTTTTGGAGTTGGTTGCTATATGAACTAGTAGAATTTGGTAAAAGTGTACTCTCTGTATTTTTTTTTTCTTTTGGTTTTTTGAAGTTGTAGGGAGTCAATTGGTCCTAGCTTCCATGGTGAAACGCTCTTATTGCTTCTTTCTCATGTATTATGTTGTTGAATGTGAAGAAACAGGCCTCAACCAGTGCTGAAATGGAAGTCGGGGAGTATCTTGCTGTGTCAATTTTTCTGTTAACGTGCATTTGAACAATAAATGTTACACATTATGTCTTGTAGTATTTACCTCCTTTTTTTCGTTGGTCCCAATTACTCTCAGGCTTAAAAATGGAGCAATCACATTTGCAAATGTGTTGGAAACTTGCTTTTTGATGAACCCTTGAGGCCTCATTTCCATTTTTTTTTTTGCAATTTATGTACCTATAGATTTATTTCAAGTACAGAATATCCCAAGTGGTTCCTAATTCTTTGAGGCTGCTATGTACTTGATTCAAGGAAACAAGTATCAACGATGATGCATACATACTGTCATGTATAAGTTTGAACATGTTTTGGTATCAAGTTTTCTGGTTTTAAATTGCCTTGTTGAGTTTGCAAGTAGAAAATTTGGTGGGAAACAAAATTTTTCTTCCATTTGTTTCTAATTTTTGGGTTTCTATAATATGTTTTGGCAGGACAACCACAATTCCAGCTTTTTGTGTTTTCGGCAAGGCTCCTCTTAAGGCATCTAATTGTGCTGAAAGTTTATACAATTATGGCGTAAAAAGTGGCAAGCCTGTTCTGGTAAGTTGGAAAGTACTGCATATACTATCATGTGGTTGTTTTTGCCTTTTTTTACACAAATTTTTGTTTGCAATTTTCTCACTCCAGGGCTCTAGGTGATAGTTTTATTTTGGCTTGTAACACATATTGTCTAAGTTACATAATTGCTGACTTGAATATCGCTGATATTGCAGGTTCTTTTTGGGTTAGAATATGCTCATGGAATGCCGGATATAAAAGAGGCACTAAATGTTGAAGCAACGAGGTTTCATGACTCCAACTCAGGATTTCAGATACATTTTGCTAATGTTACGAATTCAGTTATAACTCCATCCACATCTATGAAATTGGAAAATCGACATTTAATGTTGAATGGCGAGCAGGATAACAATGAAGATTCTTCTCAGAAGGCTGATACAAAATTTAGACTAGGTGGTTTGGGTTGGAGTTTACCTGAGGGACACAGGATGGAGGATTATTTGCTGTTCTGGATTGGTTTAGACAACTCGGCTTTCACAAACTTCATATTAACATTTAATAGTTGTGAAATAGGTAAGTGCAGGGGTGCAATTTTTGGCATTGCCGTTCTCTTCTGTGTTGCTCGTTGTCTTAGTTTTGTTATAAGCATGAAGCTCGCCAATTCAAATTGGTTTGACATTGTCAATTGATTTTCCTTGTTTTGTTCTTTTCAGCTACCCGCTTTTGCTTTCTCATGCTCTTTCACTTGGCTATGCAATAATGTTTGTTGATTTCTCACCTGTTGTTTCTAGTCAGATATGATGCAATTGAAGGTTGCTTGAAGACTGATGTATCTCAGCAGGCAAAAATTCTTAAGCGCAGGTATTATACTTGTCAAGCACATAATGATGCTAATTTATTTCAGCAAATTAGTAACTTTTATATATAAGATGTGATATGCATTGACGTATTAAAATCATTCTTTTGTCCCATGTGCAACCAACTGCATGAATAATTAGGTATTATCTAGTTGAAAAAGCGAAGGATGCAAACATGGTTGGGATCTTGGTTGGAACTCTTGGAGTTGGTAAGTTCTTGTGCAACAGTTTTATTAATATGCACTTGCCCTCTTCCATCATGGATCAATGCTTTTCTGACTTTTGCCGTAGTTAGACTTTTTTGTTCTAAATATGTAGAATTATAATTCATATGCAATAGTGTTATCTGCTCTGAGTAAAGACCACAAATGTTGCTCCTTAATTCATATTGAAAGCCAATTTGGTCTTATGCATTTGCAAATCAATTGAAATCTTCTGAAAATTTATTGAACATTTGCTGAGCTTATGGTTAGATAATAAATATTGTCTTCAGGCTTGATAGAATGTATTGCCAATGCACATCATTTTGTTTGACCTTTTTAGTTTGTCGTCATGTTTAAGATACAGACTGAAGTTTTTCTGGTAAAATTATTGATGCAGCTGGTTATCTAGATATGATTCATCAAATGACAGAACTCGTGACTAGAGCTGGGAAAAAGGCATATACCTTTCTTATGGGAAAGCCAAATCCTGCAAAATTAGCTAATTTTCCTGAGGTAAACATTGTTTCTGTGGACAGATTTTCTTTACAACTTTTAACTTTTGAGAATTTTTCAAATCTCTGGTGCATATGCAGTGTGATGTTTTCATCTATGTATCCTGCGCTCAAACGGCTCTTTTGGATAGCAAGGAGTTTTTAGCTCCTATAATCACTCCTTTTGAAGCTTTGATAGCTTTCAACAGGTAAATACCATTTTAACTATGAGTGTAAAGTTTTTTATGTGGTTGAAATTTGTGGATGCTCTTTAATTTCCTGATTGTACCTAAAGCACATCTAAGTGGATATCTTATATAAATTGCATGGCATTATCAATTTCGTTTGATGACTATTCACTAATGGGTGGTTTTGCATTTCATGGAAATAATGCAGGTTGCAGAAATGGATTTTGTCTTTATACTTTTTTTTATTACATTTTCTTTTCCTGAGCAATTAGGAATTGTGCTGCATGTTAGAGGTTCAACAACTTTGCTGGAATAAATTCATGCAGGGATCAATAGTGATTATAGGCTTCATTTTAATTCCTTTAGTGGTATACTGTTATAATCAGTAGTTGTGACAGCCCCACCTCATCCTAAGGCGAACCAAAGGGTTCGACGGATTGCCTGCCCAACTCTCGCCGGGACTCAGTCGTTCACTACAGTTCTCAAATAAATTACAAGATAAATCTCAAATATACATCAAATGTGCCACAATTTAGATCTTAGGCCGGGTTCATCATTTTTAGTGATCTCTAACACATCATATAAAGTTCCGTAGAATCAGATTTCTAATGCGCCCAAATCATTTCTACCCTAGGCTTTCATCCCTTTTCGTACTCGGGTACAAGAATCCAAAATAAGATAATTCACCACTCAAGTTGGCCAGTCCCAAGAGTAAATCATCTACATTTGTAATTCCTACCTGACATACGTATCTATGGTTCTCAGATACCATGAGGAAGATTTAAGGCCTATACATTTATGGTTTATAGCTTACGCTCAAGCGAGCACTTAGTCCTTCAAACTTATTCACCACTTGGCCCAAACTCACTCCGCGCAGAGACCACGCGAAGCAGGCTCTGATACCAACTTGAAAGAATCGCGTAGCTCTAAAATTTTGGGCAGCATACCCTCTGTATTTACTTATTTTCCAACCATTTATGGATTCATTATTTTCCTCAATCAATTCCAAAACCACACACAAAATAATCTCATTTCAATAGCCGTTCAATAGGCTCCAAGTGGTACAAGTACAAGTTCAAGCGAGGACAATGTCCGGAAATGAAGTTGATGTCCTAAAACCAAAAGACAGTTTTGACGTCATTTAGCGGAACGGACACAACTGGAGCTACACTTATCGGATTGAGGTGCAATTTAAACTGTTTCGAAGCTAAGACAAAGGGCTACAACTTTGATGAAGACCACTCAGTCCAGTTTGCAATGTATCTAGGTCAACTTTACCAAAACAACTCCAGATTTTTCAGTTTGAAGTTTACTATGAAATGCAACCAGCAGTCCTGATTCATTCAATCATATCTCAGCACATACAACTTCAATTCAAGTGATTTCAAAGCCATCTGAAAGTTAAGATACCAGACTATAAATGTTAAGAAGACATTGACAACCAAATCAGTAGTATTCCCAGTCAAACTAACCAATTACCAAAACTGATTATCAGTTTCGGACAGAAACATGGTAGCAGTGGTATTTCAGTCTTTTTACAAGCTACATTGCTCCGATTGGGCTGAAATTTTCCAGACAACTATAAAACATTATTCTCTACAACTTTCATGTTTTAACCTAAGGCTAATTCGGTCTCTAACTAGGTCCAACAGTACCGGGCAGAACAGGAAAAAATTGAAACCCTAATCTGGAATTTTCCGCACAAAGTGGAAATTTTTCGCAATTCGTTACAATTTACGCACTATAGTTTCATTCTAGACTATTCCAAGTTATCATCCATGGCCACGCACCATCAAACATATAAAAACAGAAAAAATTAAGATTAAATATAAAATTCACCAAACTCAACTAAAAGTCATGAAATACCACCTAAATCCATCTCTTTAACTCATACAAGCCACAAATTTAACATTATCAAGAACAAAAGAGAGGTTCCTTAGCTACTCACCTTGTAACTCAAGAGAAGAAGCAACTAAACACCTTGGTCTTCCAAACCACTTCACAACCAACCTTAATACCACTAAACTAAGAGGTTTTATGGTAGAAATCCAAGTTTAATCGGTTAGATTTGAAGATTGAACAAGATTGGAGGTAAGAAAGTTGGGAGTTTTCTCTTCTTTTCTCTTGAGGTTGGCCGGCCAAGAAGCTTCAAAATAAGGATAATTTTGGGTCAATTTTTGCTTAAATTGGTAAAGTAAGAAATTGGTCAAAGTCCAAAGGTTAACCACTAAGTGACACTTGTCATTTTCATTATTGCATGGCTATCCTTTTGTCCCTCCCACACCAATTCATCTAGTAACCTCTAGTTATCTCTTACCATTAAGGAAAACAAGAATAATGGAATGGGGTGAACTAAAAGGTCAATGAGGTACCAACAGTATAAATAGTAGAATTCATGAGGAAGCACTTTGGAGGCATACATTCACATCAAATACGAGAAAAGAATGAACATCACAATGTAAAGGATACAGGTGGCTCTCAGGAGCCAAATCCCCGTTGCTATACTTGATCCAGCCTCGTTGACCCTCCGTCAACGTTCAAATACAGGAACCAATCCAGTAGAATACTGTTTTAACGCCAAAACCCCATTCACCAAACATACCCCTTACCGGACCCGAACGCCAAACAGGAACAGGAATGGTAATACTCGAGTATACTGGAAATTCAGAGTTTCCAATACCCATAGATTCCCCAGGAGCAGGTATCCATGGATTGTAAATTTTCACGACCAAGCCCTTGCTGGCTCAATTCAATTAACTCCCCATGAATTTGAGCTCAGGTTTAACAGGAAGGTCGTTGGATACACTTTCGAACGACATCATAACAAGTGCAAGTAACAAATTCAAGTACATAACAAGTACAAGTAATATATTCCAGTTCGTTCAGTACAGGCAAGAGAACGAGTGTGATAAAGTACATCCTCGTCTTATACAGGATAAACAGTCAGGAAAGACATTCAAATAGCAAATTGCAAATACAGAAAACCAATTTAGCATTGATTCAGGGGAGTAGTGCACTCACCAGTGAAACAAGGATACGTCAAAAGTTTCAATCAAAGTAGGGCTCTAATCACCAAGAAACCCTAGAATAACCAGAGTAAGCAATTATGGATCCCACAGTTATAAATCCAGTAAATGGAATGTATAAATAAGGCTCGACTACATGTCGTATGCCTTTTCAGATTAACTACTAGTACGAAAGAGGAAGCTTTTCGTTAGTTGCTAATGACCCCCCCTCACTTCCATAGGATTTTTTTTGCTTGTATCTGACTGACTGTTACTGTGTGAATTGTTTGATATAGTCGAGTTATATACATATTTGCTTTTGAATTGATTCGGACGTATTATATATATCTGACTTACTGATCTCGCTAGTTTGTATCTTGTATTCGCGCCTCGAGTCTAGATTAGTTAATCCAATGGAAGGAACACGTAGTGGACGAGGCCGGGACCGTGGACGTAGGCAACCCTTGGATGAAGGGGAAAATCGGGAACCAATGCCTGAACCCAACCTTGAACCTGGACTGGACCCTAACATTTAGGTAGTTACCGCTATCCAACGTATGACCGACCTTTTGGCTCACGTAGGGGAACAGCAAGGCCAAAATTCTATTACTCAGCCGGAAAATCCTGGTAATCATATCGAGGGTGAGGATAAATCTCTTGAACGATTTCAAAAGTTCTCGCCACCGAAATTCCTTGGAGGACGAGACCCTGACGTGGCCGAGGGGTGGCTAGAAAAGATGATTGATATCTTTGCCGCGTTACACTACACTGAGGAGCGACATGTGACTTGCCGTCTTCTAACTGGAGGAAGCGGCCCGATCTTGGTGGAATATCATAAGACTGAAATGGGAAAGAGAACAAACCCCAAGGACATGGGTGAATTTCATGAGAGAGTTCAACACGAAGTATTTTCCACCTCTGATCCAGGAAAAGAAAGAAGATGAATTCATTAGGTTTCGGCAGGGAACTCAAACTGTCGCCGAATATGAGAGCCAGTTCACCAGGTTGTCTAAATTCGCTCCCGAACTAATTATGACTGAGCAAAGGAGGATAAGACGTTTTGTCCAGGGATTAAATATTGAGATTCAGAAAGACCTGGCTGTAGCCCAACTCAGTACCTTTAGTGATGCTGTGGAAAAAGTTCAACGAGTTGAAAATGCGAGGTTACAAGTCAAGAACTTCCAAACCAAGAAAAGGGGATTTCCTGGAAGTAGTTCAGAGCAAGGGGATAAGGGTACGTTTCCTAAGATTGGAAGGGGCAACGGGAGAGTACAACTACTAGGGATGTCAAGTGGTGCCTCACGAAGAGGCTCGGTCTCCGCTTCTCATGGTCCCTGCGGGTACTGTGGGAAGCCGAATCACACAGAAGAGGTCTGTTGGAAGAAAGGAAGAAAATGTCTGCGTTGTGGGAGCGCAGATCATCAAATCGCAAACTGCCCAGGCCGATCTCGAGAAGGGAGTAGGAACCAACAACCAACCACGACCAACCCTGACCAGTCGAAGGGGGAGAAGAATGGACCAAAGGTGTCGGCTCGGACATATGCCCTAGAGCAACATCAAGTCCCTGATTCGTTTGAAGACGTGGAAGGTAAGATTCTGGTATTCCACCGTTTGACCACTAGAATGGTGTATAAGAATTACACTTTGGGAAGGAAGAAGAAATTATACCAAAGAATTCAATGATCTGGCCAGTGAAGGGGAAACAGGTTGGTTAGCTAAGTATGATGCTCAATTTAACCGTGAGAAGGAAGCAGTAAAATTTTGTATTCCAAAGAAGGCGATGATAAGAAATTTCGAGGACGAAATTCTTTTAAGGAGGAGAGAGTGTGAGAACCCGTAAATTTTTCAATTTTCTAGGCTTTATTTTATTTAATTGCACGCCTTTTATACCTTTTCTTTATTAGAAAATTTTTTCAGATAATTGGTATGAGCAAATAGGGTTTTTAAAATAATTTTTCTAGTATAAATTAGTTCATGAGGTTTTAAGAATGTATATCGAATGTGGGACCCACTAGTGCAGTAAATTCGATGAAATTTGGCCGATTGGGTTACGTTTTGTATACCGGGATTAATTTAGTAGGTGTTAAGAGATAACTAGAGGTTACTAGATGAATTGGTGTGAGAGGGACAAATTGGTGTGATAGCCATGCATTAATGAAAGTGACAAGTGTCACTTAGTGGTTAACCTTTGGATTTTGACCAATTTCTTACTTTACCAATTTAACCAAAAATTGACCCAAAATTATCCTTATTTTGAAGCTTCTTGGCCGGCCAACCTCAAGAGAAAAGAAGAGAAAACTCCCAACTTTCTTACATCCAATCTTGTTCAATCTTCAAATCTAACCGATTAAACTTGGATTTCCACCATAAAACCTCTTAGTTTAGTGGTATTAAGGTTGGTTGTGAAGTGGTTTGGAAGACCAAGGTGCTTAGTTGCTTCTTCTCTTGAGTTACAAGGTGAGTAGCTAAGGAACCTCTCTTTTGTTCTTGATAATGCTAAATTTGTGGTTTGTATGAGTTAAAGAGATGGATTTAGGTGATATTTCATGACTTTTAGTTGAGTTTGGTGAATTTTATATTTAATCTTGATTTTTTCTGTTTTTATATGTTTGATGGTGTGTGGCCATGGACGATGGCTTAGGATAGTCTAGAATGAATCTATAGTGCGTAAATTGTAGCGAATTGCGGAAAATTTTCACTTTGTGCGGAAAATTCCAGATTAGGGTTTCAATTTTTTCCTGTTCTGCCCAGTACTGTTGGGCCTAGTTAGAAGCCGAATTAGTATTAGGTTAAAACATGAAAGTTGTAGAGAATGATGTTTTATAGTTGCCTGCAAAATTTCAGCCCAATCGGAGCAACGTAGCCTGTGAAAAGACTGAAATACCCCTGCTGTCCTGTTTCTGTCCGAAACTGATAATCAGCTTTGGTAATTGGTTAGTTTGACTGGGAATACTACTGATTTGGTTGTCGATGTCTTCTTAACATTTATAGCCTGGTATCTTAGCTTTCAGATGGCTTTGGAATCACTTGAATTGGAGTTGTATGTACTGAGATATGATTGAATGAATCAGGACTGTTGGTTGCATTTCATAATAAACTTCGAACTGGAAAATTTGAAATTGTTTTGGTAAATTTGACCTAGATACATTGCAAACTGGACTAACTGGACTAAGTGATCTTCATCAAAGTTGTAGCCCTTTGTCTTAGTTTCGAAACGGTTTAAATTGCACCTCAATCCGATAAGTGTAGCTCCAGTTGTGTCCGTTTCGCTAAATGACGTCAAAACTGTCTTTTGGTTTTAGGGCATCAACTTTATTTCCGGACATTGTCCTAGCTTGAATTTGTACTTGTACCACTTGGAGCTTATTGAATGGCTATTGAAATGAGATTATTTTGTGTGTGGTTTTGGGATTGATTGAGGAAAACAATGAAGCCATAAATGGCTGGAAAATAGGTAAATACAGAGGGTATGCTGCCCAAAATTTTAGAGCTACGCGATTCTTTCAAGTTGGTATCAGAGCCTGCTTCGCGTGGCCTCTGCGCGGAGTGAGCTTGGGCCAAGTGGTGAATAAGTTTGAAGGACTAAGTGCTCGCTTGAGCGTAAGCTATGAACCATAAATGTATAGGCCTTAAATCTTCCTCATGGTATCTGAGAACCATAGATACGTATGTCAGGTAGGAATTACAAATGTAGATGATTTACTTTTGGAACTGGCCAGCTCGAGTGGTGAATTATCTTATTTTGGATTCTTGCGCCCGAGTACGAAAATGGATGAAAGCCTAGGATAGAAATGATTTGGGCGCATTAGAAATCTGATTCTACGGAACTTTATATGATGTGTTAGGGATCACTAAGAATGATGAACCCGGCCTAAGATCTAAATTGTGACACATTTGATGTATATTTGAGATTTATCTTATAATTTATTTGAGGACTGTAGTGAATGACTGAGTCCTGGCGAGAGTTGGGCAGGCGGTTCGCCGAACCCTTTGGTTCGCCTTAGGGTGAGGTGGGGCTGTCACAGTAGTACTATGCAATTTGATGTCCAAGAGGTATGCAAGGTAGCTAAATAAATGAAGGGGAGTCATTTTTCGAAAACTATGTGTGATATTACTCCTCTATCATAATAATTACAGTGTCTAACCTCGTCTGAGGTTCGGAAATTAGTTATTAGGAAAATTTTGAACTAGCTTTAAGTTTTACATTGATTTCTGGTTGCACAAAGTGTCCATGTTGTGTAAAAGATTTGGTAAAGTTCTTTTTGTAGTGATAAAGTACCTGGTAATGTCCTGATAAAAGTGTTTATATTAAAAAGATTTTTGGCTAATGGTAACTCTACCTGAAGCTCAAACTTGGAGCTTTTCAAAAAGTGCCTTGCTTTTACTTAGAAGCAATTGGACTCCCTTAGACCTACTTAGAAGTTCAGATGTGTTTGGTTCACATGCATTGAAGATTTTATGGTTCTGATGCTGCTTTTGTTATCCATGCTTACCTTGCTACATTTCATCAGCCTAGTTTTGGTTCTAATGCTGCTTTTATTACCCACATTATTCATGAATCTTCAAGTTTCTAATGTTATTGTCATGGATATTGTTGAGCTTTGCAATTATCTGTTTTCAGATATTGAGTTTGGGGCTATAAGATCATCAAGTCATTTCTCTGTTACAATATATGCTGAAAGGCAATATTGAATTGAATTAGCTTTGTCATAGGAGCAGAAAACCTGAAAAATAACTAGTAGTACTTTGTAAGAGGAATACACGTAAACCTGTTGCTGAAATGTGGTTGTATTTTTCAGATCCTTGATTGGTTGATCTATAACCTGGTTGATCTATAACCTCTTTGCAAGCTAGAGTTCCCTTGTGTTTCTATTTTAGTCCTTGTCTCTTGCCATCCACTTTGTCTTTTTTTTTTTTCCTCTTCTCAAGTTTAGATTATTCAGTGTCTGAACTGTGAATATTGTATCGTCTCATCTTAATTCTGTCCTCATTTGTCTGCAGACATTGTTAAGATTATATGTTGATTCACATTCAGTCGTCATGGTTTTGATACGCTGCTATATGATTCGAAGTTTATTTAAGTTTTGAATAAAGTAAATTTATCCAGACCTCAGGGCAGGAGATAGTAATAGATCATTCGGCTGAGGTCTGGAAGTCCTCCTTTACACTCTAAATAGTCTTGCTGTAAGTAAATAAAATCCCTTTTTGGTATTGGATTTGGTGATTATTCCAGCCTAGACTCTACCAATTCGACGGGCTTGGGAATTGATAATGATAATATTATCCTTTGAACTTGTTGTAAATACTAGATGATCAACTCTTGTTAAACCACTATTGCAGGGGCAGTCAGTGGACCGGAGCTTACTCAATGGAATTTCAGGATGTGGTTGCTTCCCAGCCTGCAGAAGTAGAAGATGAGGCAGGATCACGTTTTTCTTTCTTTCAGGGTGGATATGTTGAAGATTTTAAATTGCAAGGTATCTTCTGTTATCTTGAGGTCTCAAAAAAAACTCCTTTAAAAACATTGGAACCAGGTATTTGTTTTAGGCTATAGAGTTCTTCCAAATTCATACTTAACAATGACAAGTGAGGCAATTTCTTGTTCAGCTGACCTTATGTGCACCATTATATAGAATTTACGCAACTTCATTAGCTCTGAACTCACTGAATATTCTACTGGCACCAATGAGAGGAATTAGCCCTCTTGTGAAGCTAGACAACCAAATGAGAATTTGATTTACTTTCATTGCAATTCCAATTTAGAGAATCGGAGTCTCTCTTTCTTGCATAGTTCCATGATATAATATTGCGCCGATGAACCCGGTTTTATTTCCATTCTAGGGTGATGTTCAAGACATCTTTTGAGGCTCGTTTAATTAACAATAAAAACAAGGTACTTGTGTTATGCATGGATGCTTGATGGGAGATGACACAGAATTAAGGCTTGTGTTATCATATGGGTCACATAAGCCAATTGGTGAACTACCTAAAGTCTTTAAGGCTATGCTTCTATTTCCATGCTTGTGTGTTGATAGTTATTGATGATGTACTTGAGTAATCATCAATGTGCTTGCGATGTTCTGTGTGTATATATATGTGTACACACACAAACATATATAATTCTCTTTGTCGTCATGTTTGCTTTTTTGTTTCCTGTTCAGCATTGTTTTTTAAATCTCATCATTCATGATGGGTTATTTTCTAAAGTATACGATTTGGATCGAATTAGTCTATTAGCCCTCTTTGTGTGACTGTTCATAACTTAAAGTCATGTAATGGTTCATAATATGATAAGTCGTTCCTATAAAGTTGAGCTGATATGTTTATTCTGGAAACCAGATTTTTTTTTCCTCATTTGATCAGTCAATGGACAAATGTAGCTTTATTCTGGTGACTGTTAATTTGAAATGTCTCGCTTCTTTCTTGGCTGTGCTCATTTAATGGTCCCTTTGAATTTTTGGTCCTATCAGAGGGGAAGGAGGAAAAGGATGCAGTTCTCTCCCTGGTAAATGTCACAGAGAAGGCTTTGCTGCTCCAAAACAAGGACTCTGAGCTGTTGTCAAGAAGAGATGCTAAATCTGGAGCTGAGTTTTTTGCAGCTCGATCATATCAAGGTCTTGAAATCCATAGCAGTGACTCTTTTCCAGAGCTGTTTTTAATCGGTAGAGCAGGGAAGACATCTGGATATGAGGATGAACAAAGCAAATGACACGATATGTGATTTTATTCTACTGCTCTGAAAATAAGCAAAGAGAAAGGAAGAGAGTATCCAACTGATGGTGCACTAAGCTAGATCGTTTGGGGAAACATTTGCAATAGAAAGCCAGCGCAGAAATACAGCGAAATCTGTGTAATGTTTGGACAGTAGACATAAAGCAGAATTCCCAGTAGTTCTTCCATTGAAACCAATTGGGGGTATTTTGGCAGAACGCAGTAGTTGTGCAGCAGCTTTGGCACCCATAGAAGTGTTTGTGGCTAAATTTGGGAATCTCCGGCTATTATTGCTACTGTGGTGCTGGCATTTTTGCCTTGCATTGGCATGGTTAATTTTAATCTAGCCTTGGGAAGAGCTTCTTGCAGCTATTACCCATTTCGTGGTATACTTTCATCCCTATTCGGTTAAACAGAAGGGGTTGACTTTCCTAAGTTCCACCAGTTGGGGTCGTCTCTGCATTTTTTTCCTCTTTGAACTGGATCAGATTCCATTTATGTCTTGTATTAGTCAGGCATATTCATAGGATAGGAGAGAGCATATTTGTAAGCTGTTGTAATGTTTCATTGGCATAACTTAGAACCTGTTATTACATTCCTTCCCTTATAATGTGAGTTCTTGTAAATATGGCCAGCAGCAATTGAATGGTTACGTGTTGTTGATTGATTTACGTTTCTTTATGCTTGCATTCAGCTTGATTATTTTTGTTGAGTAGGGATATTTGCACAATTTTATTTACTTGCATTATAAATATATTTTTGAACTACTTTTTTTATTTCACATATATTATATAAAAAAATTGTTATAAGATTTTTTCAAAAAACAAAAAAATTCCAAATGATCTATAATCTAAACACATTTGTTGTTGTTAATCCGGCGGGCAACGTTTAAAAAAAAAAAAATCTCACGTCATATGTGAAGGAAACTATTTATCAGACAACATTTATGATTTCTCTTTTCATCCATAATCTTATATAAGGAATTAGCCAGATTACCTAGTACTTACTAATCATAAACACAACTTATTTTATCAAAATTGACAGACCACTTCATAGTAAAAAAACTTGATTTTGAGTATTTGAAAAGAAAAGAAATTCCCCAATATCACCAAGTGCTTCAAATTTTCCACATGAATTTCTTATCCAGAAAGCCTATTTTAATAGGAAACCTTCAACCACAGTACCGTCACCAAAAAAAAAAAAAAATAGTAGTCATCGTAATTTCAAAGCGGCGTTACTGGCCGCTTCTTATAACAGCCACTGCCGGCGCTCTTTCTTCTGAGTTACGACCATTTCCCAGGAAGAGGCCTCCGTCGCCGGTAAAACCCCTCTAGTAAAATTTCATTGTTTTCTTTGTTTCCTTCTCAAGTTCACATGGTTTGTTTGTTTGGTCCGAGAAAAACAACTCTTTTTTCTTGTAAAGTAGAGAACTGAAATGAATGATAGCTGCTGGATAACTATCTCTATTGGGTTTTTTTCTTTCTCTCTGGTAACAGAAGCAGAGTAGTATGAAACTGGGTTCTCTTTGTAATTGTTTATGCCAAAATTCTCATTGGGTTTATTCTTTATTTTTTTTGTATTTTGTTTCATTGGATTTTTTTTTGGTATTGTATATTGGTAGTGGAATTTAGGAAGTGATATACTACAGAAATTGTTCTTTAGATTAAGGGGGTTGTTTTTTCCAATGTGATTAGTTCTGTATTTACCTGAATTTGGATAAATATTCAAAGGTCATGCCATTAGTGGGCTTGATTTGTAGGAAATGTGCACAAAACCGGAAGGAAATATCAAAAACAGAAAGGAAATTGTTTTGTGATCTCGTTTGGAATTTTTATGATTTTTGTTTACCTTAATGGATTTCTTCTTAGTTTCATGTATTTTACAAGCAATTTATGAATTTTTTTTATATCTGCTGGGCTTTTTAAGATGTTGACAACTTGTAGGGCCCTTCTTGTTATATGCTGTTAACTTTTTTTTTTTTTTTTTTTCTGAATCTGGATTTAGTGTAGCCATTTCTGGAAGCTGTAACATTTGCAAATAAAGGATGCCAGATTGCGTTTCAGGAGGTCACCAAGAATGCACATATCGGTTGCTTCATTGTGGAAAGCGAGGACTTATGAGGTCCAATGCTACCATAGATTTGTGATGTTTTGCTATTGGCTGGAAGGAGTAGAGTTACCTAACTATTGAATCTTTTAGCTATTGAGCCTGCAGCCCTTATAATGCAAGTGATTCATGGCTGTGCGCATTTCATCAGTTTCAAGACTCCCCAGCTGTTTTTCAAAGATCAAGAACTTAGCAGCTACTGGGAGATGGCAAGAGGTTCTTTCCTGTCACCGTGAATTGAGGGAGGCAGGAGTTCAATTGACTGATCCTTCTGTCTTCCCTCCCATTCTCAAAGCATGTTCTGCGATATCTTTTGATTATGGCAAGTCCTTTCATGCATCTTTGCTTAAACAGGGACTTGATTCATTCACTTCCTTGGGCAATTCTATTATTGATTTTTACGTGAAATCTGGAACCCTGGGTTGTGCAAATGATGTTTTTGATTGCATGAGGAACAGAGATTCAGTTTCTTGGAACATAATCATTCATGGACACCTTGATCAATGTGCTTTTGAGCAGGGGTTAGGCTTGTTTTTCCAGGCCAAAATTACAGGATTCAAACCTAACATATCCACTTTGGTGCTTGTGATTTGTGCATGTCGTGAACGCCAGTTATTTGATGATGGGCAAATACTTCATGGGTATATTGTTCGTAGCGGGTTTTGGGCCATCTCTTCAGTTCAGAACTCCCTTTTATGTATGTATGCAGACATCAGGATGGAGCTTGCTCGGAAGCTCTTCAATGAAATGCATCATAGAGATGTAATCTCTTGGAGCGTAATAATTGGCTGGTATGTGCAAAATGGTGAAGCCAGAGTTGCTTTAGAGTTCTTCCGGCAAATGGTATCTGAGTTTCACATTGAAGTGGATGGGCCTATAACTGTAACTATACTCAAAGCATGCACCAATTTACAGAACATTGAAATGGGAAATTTGGTCCATGGCTTTGCGATTTCGAGAGGCCTGAAATGTGATGTGTTTGTAGGTAACTCGTTGGTTGATTTCTATTCCAAGTGTGATGATGTTGAATCTGCTTTTAAAGCCTTCAGCGAGATGAGTCAAAAGAATGTGGTATCATGGAATGCTCTACTATCTGGATATGTTCAAAGTGAGAAGCATTCTGAAGCCCTGTTGTTATTTGATTCAATGAGAAGGGCAGGAGTTGAAGCTGATGAAGTAACCCTTGTCAATCTGCTTCAAGTATGCAAATATCTTATGTTACCATATCAATGCAAGTTGATTCATTCCAAAGTACTTAGACAAGGTTATGAATCAAATGAGTTGGTCAAAAATTCTTTAATTGATACATATGCAAAATGCAATTGCATTAGTCTTGCATGGAAGCAGTTTAGTCAGATGAAGCACCGAGATGCGGTCACTTGGAGCACAATGATTGCAGCATTCACTTACTGGGACATGCCTGGTGAAGCAATTGCTCTTTTCCGAGAGATGAAGCTGATTGAAGAAAATCTTAACACAGTTACCATGTTGAATCTTATTGAAGCCTGCTCTCTTTTTGCAGATCTGAACATATCAAAGTCTGCTCATGGTATTGCTATTCGACATGGCTTAGCTTTTGAGGTTGCAGTTGGAACTGCTGTTTTGGATATGTATTCCAAATGTGGGGCGATACAGGCTTCAAGAAAAGCTTTTGAATACATGCCCCAAAAAAACATTGTGTCATGGGGTGCTATGATTGCAGCATATGGTATGAATGGCCTTCCTCGTGATGCTTTAGCTTTACATGCCAAAATGGAATCTCAGGGTCTCAAGCCCAACTTAGTAACAAGCCTTTCTCTGTTATCTGCATGTAGCCATGGGGGATTGGTTGATGAGGGCTTGTCTGTCTTTGAGAATGTGATACAAGAATATGGTGTTGAAATTGGGGTGGAACATTATTCGTGTCTTGTGGACTTGTTGGCTCGATCTGGAAAGTTTGATAGTGCAATGGATTTTATCAACAAAATACCTTGTACAGTAAAGCCTAGCGCTAGTGCATGGAGTGCAATCTTGAGCGGTTGTAGGAACTCTGGTAATAGGGAGGTTGGGGCTGGTGCTTTAGCTCATATTCTTGAATTGGAGCCATCTAGTAGTGATGGATATTTGCTGGCATCTAACATGTATGCGTCTGGTGGTTTATGGTATGATGCTGCCAATATGAGATTGTTGGGCAAGAAAAGTGGGGCCAAGGTACTCGCTGGGTACAGTTTGCTTCATGTGAACAATAGGGCATACAGGTTTGTTGCAGGAGATAAACATGATCCGTTATCTAATGAGTTATGCATTTTTATTGAACAATTACATTCGTGGATGAAGATTGAGAATACAGATCATGATAATATATTGGGAACAAAAAGGAAGGAAGTTAAATCCCGTTCTTCCAGTTTTCGCCTACAACAACAGCTAGAACAGTTTATGGATGCTGGTACCTGATTTCTAAGGGTAGATTCATTCTTTTTTGTATCTAACTGCATGATGTAGCATTGCAACCCTGGAATCCATCTACCGGTTCTTTTTTACAGAGGCATTTTGTAAGCATCATTTATTTGTAGCTAGTTTTAGTTGATAGGACAATGTAATAGCAATAAGATTTTGTGCATTGATACTTGAGGACAGATGACACTAAACAGTGGTGGCCTTATCCTGCCAAATAGTTTAAACAAGCATTAGGAGAGTTGTTAATGTTGATCTCATGTTTATGTTGTATGCTTACTGTTGAAGAGTGTAGTTATTGGTGATTGAACTTTTTCAGTTGTCTATAACATGTGAAAACTATGATATTCAATACTTGCTCCTTAGAAGAATGAAGCTACTTTCACATTGTTTTCTGTCTTCCCCTCCAAACAATCTTCCTTAAAAATATACCCTTCCATGCTGGTAGATGCTGGAAAT